TTTAGCTTTTCTTGTTACTTACAGATCCTTAGACTAGGAGGGTGACTGGAGAGAGCAGACAGCAGTCCTCTGTCCCAAGTCTCTTGTAGCAACAGCAACCACGCACAAGCAGGTGACTTCCCTATTTAAGTGTCATTTATCGTGAGGTTTCATAATTTCGTGGGGTTACTTTCTACTGGGTTCTTTTTTCTATTTTTTCTTTTTTCTTTTTTTGTGACCATAGGATCTCTCTCTGTATCCCAGGCTGGAGTGAAGTTCTACTGGGTACTATAAACAACTCTGTCACCAGAGCAGATAAGAAATTTAGTGTGAAACTGGGGTTAAAACAGGGCTCCACATGAGGACCCCTTACTCTCTTGCTAGCTCCTCCAAGCCCAGGCAGCAAGAAACTCTGGTTCCTCCATGACTCCTAAGGCAGTGGACCCCACGGTGCCTGGGCTATTGGCTGAGGCTGAACTACCTGGACCAAGGGAATATTAAAAGTCACCTGGAAAGCCTGGTCTACATATCTCACTGCATGTGGCCACCACCTCCCCTTCTGTCGTTCACAGGGTGACACCTGTTGGGCTCTCGCTGAGTTAATGGTTCACATGCAGCGTGTGGCTCCCTGGAGGGAACAAACACCTCCTTGCTAGGCCAATAGGTAGCTCAATGCTGAATGAGTGTCTAGGACCACCGGGGCCAAGGACTCATGAGATTGTTGCGTGGGACCTAATGTTTCTTGCGGGGCCTTCAGGAGGCTGCCAAAGTGGCAGAGAGATTGTTATTAGCATGTATCGCCTTGTGTTGTGCCCAAACTGTCCTCAGACCAACTCTGGGCAGGCTTAGGAGCCACTCTGTGCCCAGCAGGAGCGGGATGAACATGGGGGTGGGGGGATGTGGAGGCTCCACCTCATGTGGTCCCTCCTGTCAGTCTCCACCGTCTTTCTCCTCTTCGTAGTGGGGTAAGTGGGACCATGTGTGGGGAAAGGGAGATGCATTAATAAACAGTGCACTGGAACCTAAAATCATCCCCTGGGGGCCAGTTCCTCAAAATAGCCCAAATTTGCCCATGTTCTGGGCTGAGACCATTGCCCATGTCCTCAGACGGTGAAATTGCTGGGCCTGTCACATGGCAGGAGCCCTCTCCTTCCCCAGAGTGACAGCCAACCCCACTGAAGTGGCACCTACCACCGAGACAAGGCTTGAGACTGAGGGGGACGCTTCGTCTCTCACTCCCTTGCTCCCACCCCTGAGGATCCCGTTCCTCCTCCCTCCACACGAAGATGAAGGGCAGGTCCTGAGAGTCGCCCTGCTCCATCTGCACCTGGCAGCCCGTCCTGTGCCTGCACTGACGGCCAGGTGGCCTCAGCAGACTTGGCGCCCTAACCCCACCTTAGGAACCGACTGCCTCTAACATTCTGGTAAGGTTGTAAGCAGACTGTGAAACAGAGAAAGAGAAATAGCAACACCAACAAGCCAATGTCCTGTATTTTAATAGAAAAGTTGCACCAGAGGCTTCGGAGAAGTGGCAAAGAACCGTTTATGGAAGACCGTTGCAACAGGGGCCAGGACGCTGCAGTAGGGAGCGAGGCGGAAGC